GCTTAAATAAGAAGAAAATGCAATTCTTGTTGCACTTTCCCACCCAACCTATCCAAACGTTCAGCCAGGAAGACTCTGAAGGCAACGTTTTTCAGCCTTGGCAACTTGAAGATGCGTGGACATGGACCCCACAACAAAGAGAATACCTGTTTGATTGAGCAAGGTCAAAGCATTCTACACTGGTGGGGTTTCTGCCCAGTTTTTGGAAGAGAGCAGTATAGAAGTCCAGGTCCCAGGAATCAAAAGCCAGACCTACGAAGCAGAGAAACACAGCGGTTGACCCCCTGCTGCTCCTTAACTTCCATCCCAGGCTTATTCCCCTTTCCTACATTAAGACAAATAAATCAACTTCATCATGTAAGAGGAAATGAGAAGGTACTGTTTTCTTATTTGAAGGGGCGGTGAAGTCCTTGTGGGTTAGGGCCAACACAGCTAAACCCAAACGGGCCCTTGCCACACGGGAAAAAGGAAGTAGGGGAAAGCCATCCCAGAAGCCAGGTTCATCCTGGACCTGGATGAGCTTAGCACAGCTTGTCTAAACAATGTTGGTTTCTCTGAGCTGAGCCACACGATCCACAGAATTATTTAAAGTATCTCTGTCGTATGGAGACGTTCAAGATTATAGGCAGGATCACTTATATTTGTGTATTTATTTATTCCATTTATATCCTGCCTTTTTTTTTTCCAGGAGGTGAAGGTGACATGCACAACATTCCCTCCTCCAAATCCCCCCACAAGAACCCTGCAAGGTAGGCTGGGGTCAGAGAGAGACTGGCCCAAAATCACCCAAGGAGCTTCCATGAGTTGAGGGCGGACTTGAACCCGAGTCTCCCTGGCGCCACGCCAACACTTGCATCACTACATGTAAGACTGAATGCCTGAATTGCTCTGTATAAAATAAGAAAAATCTTCTCCTATGCAGAAAAAGAATACATGGGATATACATGTCCAGCAGTGCAAAACGTTATTTGCAAAATAAGGATTGCAAAAGGTTCCCACCAGCCATTCTCCTTGAAAGGGCTGTCTGTGCTCTGCCTTCTGTTTTTCTTTCCCAACCTTTCCACACCACCCTTCTGTAGTTGCAGAAGATGGTCAATCTTCAGTCAAGAGGTTTGGGAGAGTCCCTTTGTATCTTACAGCCATCTCCTGCTTCTCCAAAAGGACCTGGGGATGGGCCCTCACTGCTGAATTTGTTATTAGAAGGAACAGTGGGGAAATGCAGGTGGATCCCTTTTACATCTTCTTCCAACAATTACAATCTATCACAAACTCACAATGCTGTCTCCTAGCTACTGGACACAATTATTTCCCAATTTTCTTTACCCTCCCCAGCTCATACCAAGCTGGTTGTTGGCCTTGGCAAGAGCAGGTCTTCCTTCTCCTAGAATATCAACGTGGAACACTGCTTCAGGGCAGGTAGCTACAGCAAAACTGTTGATGGGTTCGGGGTAGCTCTGCTCCGTCATCCGATCATAGAGTGAGGCTATTAGCTGTGCCTCCTGGGCTGATGAGGGCTGTTGGTCACACTGAAAAAACCAAGTATGGAATCTATCAACCTCTAGATTCCAAATTCAAGTGGGTTTTGTGCAGGCAATGAGGAAAAACTTGGATATCGAAGACCGGATTCAAGACCACCTTCCAAAATAACGAAAGGAACCGATATAGCAAATCTGCAGCTATGAATTCTATCAGGTGTTCCATTTATTTTAGAAAATGTCAACCTAGTTTTAAACCCAAAGAAGGGATCTAAGGGCTTTCCAGATGTTGCAAATCTACAATTCCCAGTATTTGTCATCATTAACGGGTTGTATTTCAGACTGGAGCAACGTATTGCAGAGTTTCTACACCTTCCAATGGGAATGTCGCTTTTGCTGGTCATTCCATCCCACACCCTGTTCTGTCAAGAGTAGATATTCAACATTTAATAGGTATATATCATATTTAATCCTTTTGTAAGGCTGTCCACTGCCTATTCATGTAGCTTCATACTTCTATATTAACTGGTGGTCCCCCAAAGCATGCAACTGTATCCTCTCTCCCATTCTTAGCTGCACTTCTGTCAGTTCTCACCACCCGAGTCCAATATTAAATAAAAGGAGTGACGGGTGGCATTTCCACTGACCATGCTGAATGGGGATTATGGAAGTTGGTCCAACCCACTGAGAAAGTACCTAGCCAGAGAAAGTTAATGCAACAGAAGCAGCCATTTTATGGCAATAAAAATTCAGCGATATGTGCAAATGTTCTCTATAACATGACTGATTACGTGCCATCAAGTCAACTCAACTCTTAGCAACCACACAGATATATTTACTTCATCTTGTCTATCCCTGTGGTTTTCTTGGTAAAATACAGAATGGTTTACCATTGCCTTCTTTGGCACAGTATAAAATGAGGCCATTAGAGTTGTCACAAAAATGATCTTCCTCCTCCAGCATCTTCTTATATCGCTGTTGCCCAACATATGTGCCTCCACACTTCGTTTTGGCAGTTGGGATGACCTTCACATCTTAAGTGATTCTGCTGAGACCAATAATCTTTGCTGATCCCTCCCACCTTCCCCACCATGATGAGGTAGCACAGCCAGATTTGTATAATATGCAGCGTATTAAAGAATTATTCAGCTATTCTTCAAGAATTTTTGTCCATGCAGGAAGGGAGCTGAACAGCTACCTCCACCTAAGATAATTCTGTACCTGGGAAGCAGAGGGGAAACAGGAGGAAATAGGAAAATATCCCCCTACCTTGAAAAGGTAGCGCCGAGAACACTCAACCCGGTCAATGTTTTCTAACCCAGCCGCCAGGCACACTGAGACAGCATTAGTGGAATATGCTGTAGAGAAATTCAACCTGCAAGCATGAAGAAGATGAAGATGGATGGGAGGAGGAGGAGGAGGAGGAGGAGGGAGGAGGAAGAGTTTGTTTTCAAATTAAATCTGAATAGATTTGAGGCTTGGATTCATTCTCACCATATGTCCTTTAATAATTTCTAATGCTTAGGTGCAGGGCAACTATAGATCACAAAGTTAGAAAGTCACAGTATGTCTCCTCAGTCAGGACTTATTTAAAACAAGATTTAACTCTGTTTTGGAGGTCCACTGAGCTTTCCTGAGAAACACAACTTGCCCAAATCAAACATCACAGCAAAACAGAGTTAATTACAAACCAGGAAGTAAAGGCAGAAATTGGGAGTTCACAAAATTAAGTCCTTCTCATCATATCTAAACTTGGTTATCCACACATTGGCAGGGCTTATAATACAGTGGAACCTCGGTTTACGAACTTAATTCGTTCCGTGACTCTGGTCGCACCCCG